GCTAGCGCCGGCCCTGATGGTAGTAGGTATTAGTCTCAGATGAACAGTTTCATTTGTTTGCATATGCAGCGCGGTTTTCTGGGATTTGGTACTTTCTCTATAAGCAAGCAGTTTGGCAACAGGTTTTTTATGCAGTTACCTCTTGTTAGGATGCCTGGACCTTTCCTGGCCTTATTTTATTTAATTTTAGGTTAAGACAGGCATCTGCAGGGTAGCACATTCATTTTTTATTAAATATTTTTGTTTTACTTTACTTTTAGGGGCTTCTGGGAAACATTGGGGGTTTAGACAGGCCTCTGATATTTCCCTTTTAAAATAGAAAAAGAGATTGAGAACACAGAGTCCTCAATCTCTTTTTTCTGCAGCCCCTGTTATCAATGAACAGCAATCCTCTATACTGAGTGTTCCTGGTCATTGATAACATGAGGACAGAGTATGTTTACTATAACCACAACCATGAATGGACAGGAAGTGATGTAGATCACTTCCCATTCATTCATAATTGATGATATAGTAAACATACTCTGTCCTCAATTATCTACAAACACTCCACGATCACTGACTGCTTGTATCGCTCTCCATCCTGACGCGCTGTCACAGGAGGCTGAGCGAGCGGTGTAGGGAAGAGAGCTCAGACTCCTGTGACAGCGCTGGCTGTCTCCGCCCACACACTGCTCTGCCGCACTGTGATAGGAGGCTGAGCGGTGTGGGAGGAGAGATGTCGCCGCTCAAAGCGCTCTCCTCCCGCAGCGCTCGATCGACTGTCACACTTTCTCTCCTCCCTGCTGGGACACAGAGCAGCGCCCAGCTGGGAGGAGAGAAAGCACGGATGCTCCGCTGTATCGGCAGGAAAATGGCACTTTCTGCATGTTTCTGCATCGGCCCATGTTTCGTGGGCCGATATATCGGTGCATCCCTAGTATAAATGTATCTTTACCTGTAGGCAATTGACTAGCCGTATATATCTGACTAGACCATTTGTTCCTTGTTAGCATCAGGATTGAATTGAAGTTAAAATTTTTATCTGCAGTAGAAAATTATAGGGCTGGTAATGATTAAAATTTTCGTGTTCGATTAATTATAACGCACATACAGATCCAACTACATTGGCCTATACACATACAGCACAGCAATGAAGTAATAAAATGAACTAGGATCACACTAATCCAGCACGTTATTAATCTCACGCGCCCCACCCAATATGGCCGCCGCTTGAGTGGGGCAACTCAGAATAATACCGTGCTGGATTAGTGTGATCCTAGTTCATTTTATTACTTCATTGCTGTGCTGTATGTGTGTAGGCCGATGCCTTGGCTGGCGCTCGTGCAGAAAGTTTCTTGGGCAAACTCAACGGCCCAAGTGGCTCCGTCGGACTCCTCCCCCCTTGCCTTCGTTAGCCGACTGAGCCACTTGGGGAAGGGGGGAGGAGTCCGGTGACGTCGATGTCCGTGACGTCACCAGATCGCCGATGGAACTCCCGGAAGCTGGCGGAGAGGTGAGTGTTTTCATTAGCGATCAAAATAATTTTAATGGATCAAAAAGTTTAAAACGATTAATCGAGAAATTTCCACAGCCCTAGAAAATTATCTTCCTTTCAATTCTGGGAGAAAAGAATCTCCTTGAAGCTGATTTCGGTTTCCAGTTGATGGTTTAGTTGTGATAAATACATAAAATAAAATAACTTAGAGGAAGTTTGTCTTTACCTCAAATAGATTCTCCGCTGATAGCCGGTCCTGTGCAGAGTATTAGGAATCAGTTCACGCGCAGCAGAAATTTGAGCTTGTGAACATCTGATTGGCTGGGAGAGGTCACGTGTCAAATCTGCACATTATGTGTCACATTCTGCTGAGCTAATGAGAAACTACAAATTACATTCCAGGAGATACTTAGTTTTGTTTTATTGATATTTGAAATGATATCCTGAGGTTTTATTTTTATTATTATTATCTTTGCTGATCAATATTATTGACATTTTGATCCATATTCCTGATTGTCACCTGTTACATTTTTATCATTATGTTGTACTGATTTTTAGTTAATATATCACTATATTGCCAAAAGTATTGGGACGCCTTTAAACGCACATAGGAATATTTAGTAGCCGGGAAATGTCATGGGACACCTGAATCCAAGGATTTGGAGGGGGAGGGGCCCAATACTTTTGGAAATATAGTGTATTTATGTTTACACATTATTATTCCTTATTTTGTCTTCAGTTTCGCACAAATAAAGAACTCGAGTTATTAGTGGATTTGTGGAAATAATTTGGGAATCTCCTTCATTACAGATCCCGGCCTGTTCTCATACATAGAAAACTGTTTATTTGATCAGAGTGAACATTCTGATGGGGGACACACTGTAGGGGGTTTACTTGTGATAGTAACATTTTGTTACTCTGTATCCCTGTCACAGGTCCTCTTTGATAGCAGTGAATAAAGTTTGATGTGTGCGGGGGAGGGGGGGGCGCGTGTCTTTTGTTGGCGGCCTTTGTTTACGGGAGTCACGGGAAATACAGATGAACGGCTTCCGCAGAGTTATTCTGCAGCAAAAATTCCCTACTGGGGGCGACGTTTACTACGAGGCGGCGAGCACGTCATGTGACCATTGTTATCAGGCTGGAACATTTTCCATTCTTCCATTGATATAAAACATCCCGCCAGGGAGCCGGAGGACAAAGAGAGCTCGCAGCTGGAACAGGATCAGTCCAAAACGGGGGGGTGCCCTCCAAACACATGGTCTCAACTATTAATATTTAAAGAGGACCTGTCATCAAATATGTGATGTCATTCCAGGTATTTATTACCCTTCACCCGAATCACACAACTCCCCCTGACAATGTCTTCATCTGCTTCTCTCTTCAGAAGCAAGGCGCCATCTTTGTTCAGCCATCATCCAGGGTCACCATCTACTTCCTGGAGACTGAGATGTCGGCTCAAAGAGGACACAATCATGTAAGTCCCTCAGGGGACGGCTCATCCAGCTCAATGAACAGCCGGCTCCCTCTAGTGGTGACCAGGAACGGCGGCTGCACACGCAGGGGGCGGGGCATGCTGCTGGATATAGTCAGGAGAGAAAGAGAAAACCCATCCTATTGGCTCTGCATGGACACGCCCACACGTGTGTTATCTTTAGGTGAAGAGAAGATATACTTTTTATATTTCCGGGGACCGTTGAGCTCTGCACCTCTTCATCTCACTGACACACAGAAGCCATTCCCACAGCTCAGGAAAATGCCTTTTATTTGAACATCACTTTAAATGTCTTCCGAAACATGTGACAACACTGGGTTCCTGAGGAGCCACTCACCAAGTATTAGTGCCATCACCTGGGAAGACACTGAATGTACTGTGAAGGGCCACCACACACATTACAATCTCCAGTACAGTCCTCGTAGGATCTTCTTCAGATTCAATATGAGGACAGACCCAAAACAACCCATTCACATGCCATCCAATCAGGCCGGCCCTTCCCCTGCACACATGATGGAGGATCTAAAGAAGATTGTACAATCAGAGTGTATAGAGTATGGTAGGGATCCACCGATACCGGTTTTTCAGTATCAAGTACCGATATATATTTTTTACGTACTCGCCGATACCGATTACCGATACCGTGTGCCCCGAGTATCAGGAAGTTGGGTAGCAGATCATGACCCGTTGCCTGGCTTTCCGACTGCCTATCAAAAGAATACCGGCTTCACTTGTTGCTAGGCAGCCTGGCTTCCTGACCAATCAGGAAGCCGGGTGGCAGGTCATGAGGTGCTGTCCAGCTTCCTGATTGATCAGCAAGCCAAGCAACAAGTGAAGCCAGCTTCCTAGCCAATCAGGAAGCCGGTCGGCACGTCATGACCCGCCTCCCTGATTGGCTAGGTAGCCAGCTTCGCTTGTTCCTAGGCAGCCTGGCTTCCTGCACAAACAGGAAGCCGGGAGGCAGGTCATTACGGCAGCTTAGCAACACGTGAAGCCGGCTTCCTAGCCAATCATGAAGCCGGGAGGCAGCTCATAACCCACTGCCCGGCTTCCTGATTGGAAAGGAAGCCGGCTCCATGGTCCCTTGACACTGCCGTTTAGAGGAAGTTCTGCCTCTGACTGGAAGTTCTGGTATCAGAGCATTTGGGCGCGAACTAGTACTCACCCAAATACTCGGTATCGGCACTATTACTAGTATCAGTGCATCCCTAGTGTTTGGTTTGTTGGGAATCAAGCTCAGGTTGTCTGGCCAATGTGTAATGACTCATCGCCCCTCTCAGTGAACTGGAACTCCAGCCCAAGCCTTTGTTTTCATATGGAGAGGGAGAGGGTTTTACTACTGTGGTGCCTCTGGGGGGGGGGGGGGGGGGGGGTTCCCTCACTTACACTTGGGTGGGTTCCTCTCACTTCCATTTGGGGGGAAGGGGTTTTCCCTCACTTCCTGTCCAGGGGGCAAACACAACAATAAAGAACCTGGAAGAGCATTTCACCTTTTCCCACTTTATCCGAAGTGCAAGAAAAACCATCTAGAGTTCCACTTTAATATGAAGCCGTATTCCATGTTACATTTTAAAAGGCCTTCCTATGGACAGACATCGTACTTTGCTCTTCTGTGCACCCCCCTGATTTAGTTTCACTTTGTTACCAGGCTCTCCAGCAACTGCCATTCCCTCCTGTTCAATGCCCAGAGTGCCCACTGGATGGCGGAATGGCACGAGGGGAAGGTCAGACTCTGGTAACAAAGTAAAAGTAAATCAGAGGGGGGAAGAGGAGACGATTCCGTATAATAGAGATAACAGGAAGATAAGGAAGGATCTCCCTGAAGGACGTTGAATGGAGTACAGCTCCACTTTGAAGGCCTCGTCCATTGCTGGGTAGGATAATAGACAGCAGCGGCACTCAGTACCGGTCTTGTAGAATACTCGGACTCTCGTTCCATATCCAGTGTTTTCGTGGCTCGTACTTCTCAGAAACCAAAAAGGACAAAACAACAACAAAAAGAAGTCAATATAAAAAGTCGGTTCATGAGGAACGTCATGCATCAAATCCTCGTCTCCTGCAGCTTCCCATCCAATACATATTTCCCCAAAACCGTCCGGGACCTCTGCAGCCTGACCCTTCACCTGAGAGTCACCACTTCCTGATGTCAGAACAAGATGGCTCTTCCTTCGTCATCCCCCCGCTACGCCGTCCTGGGAAAGATAAGGAAGTGTCCGGGGCCAGGAAGTTTGTGTCGGAGGTAAGAGAACAACGTGAGGTCACTTCCAGAAGACCACGTTCCAAAGCTGCAGCCAACAAGGGTAAACGAAGAGGGCGACGAAGGGGAAGAGCAAGGATCCGTAAAGGTAGTGGTCCAGCATGCCCCCTGCGATGGCCTGCAGGAAGATCTGCCAGCATTCTAACAGTGAGACGGGATATTCGATCAGCTCCCGGTAGAGGAAGATGCTGCCAAGCAGGGTGGTCGCCGGTGTCACCAGGACTAGAAGAGCTGCATATAAAAGCCTGAAAAGAGAGACGGGACATTTCATGACTTCAAACCGTGGGCTCAGCAACAAGGATAACACAAGTCTTCTATGTACTCAGCACGTGATCCTTTCCCCTAGTTTGGATCTTCTGTGACAATCCCTACACGGCTCCCTACTATATACAGGATACAGCCTGACTCCTACTATGACCATTTCCTCACAATTCCAAATCCTACATTAACCTAGAAGACCTCATCAATCTCCCACCTCCTTATACCATCACTTTACCCTCAAATACAAACCTGGAACATCCGGATCTCCTCCTCTCTGCATGGGCTCTTTAATGCCTTGAGGATGCAGGTTTACCTCCTCCTTTGACCTCAGCAATCTGCAAACTCCTCATGTCTCCTCTTCAGCCCCCAAATACAAACCCACCAGGAACCTTCACACTACCCCCCTTTGCATGGGCTCTTTATTGCCTGCAGGACACACTTCCCAATCCTACTATAACCTTGAATGTCCTCATCAATCTCCCCCCTGCTGGAACCTTTACTCCACTCCCTTGTATGGGCTCCTTATTGTCTTCAGGACAGTTTCAAATCTTACTTTAACCTAGAAAGTCCTCATCAGTCTGCCACCTCCTTGTAGAACCCCATCTATTCCTTCACTCCACCTCTCCGCATGGGCTCTTTTTTGCCTTCAGGGCACAGTTCAAAAATCTAATTTAACCCAGAAGTCCTCATCAATCTACCACCTTCCTATATCTCCACTTTAGCCCTCAGACATAAACCCACCTGGAACCTTTACTCCACCCGCTTGTATGGGCTCCTTATTACCTGAAGGACATGGTTCCAAATCCTACGTTAACCTATAAAGTCCTCATCAACCTACCACCTCCTTATATGTCCACTTTGGCCCTCAGATAAAAACCCATCTGGAACCTTCACTCCACCTCTCAGTATGAGTTCTTTATTACCTTCAGGACACAGTTCCAAAGCCTAACTAAACCCAGAATTCCTCAGCCACCTTCCTATATCTCCACTTTAGCCCTCAGACACAAACCCACCTGGAAACTTTACTCCACCCCCTTGTATGGGCTTCTGATTGTCTTCAGGACACAGTTCCAAATCCTACTTTAACGGAGAAGGTGCTCATCATTCTGCCACCTCCTTATAACACCGCATTTGCCCCAAAACCAGTTCCAAAACCTTATTAAACCCAGAATTCCTCATCAATCTACCAGCTCCTTATATCTCCACTTTAGCCCTCAGATACAAACCCACCTGGAACTTTTACTCCACACGCATGTGTGGGCTCCTTATTGTCTTCAGGACAACCTACCACCTTCTTATATCTCCACTTTGGCCCTCAGATATAAACCCATCTGGAACCTTTCTGTAGCGATCTCACCCCTCCGCCAGGTCCCGGCATCTCCAGGAGCTCCGTCGGAGTTCGGGTGACGTCACAAAGGGCGACGTCACCGGACTCCTCCTTCTTCCTCTCCTTAAGCCGCCGGAGCCACTTGCCTGCCGTTCTTGCTAGGAGCCTGACGCCAGGCAAGTACCTCCGCGACAGTACAGCAAGGACCCCTATATTGGGCCGGACAGAGCCCCCTCTTCAGCGGCCATCCAAGCCACTCCACTTCCCTCCTCTCTGACGATCCTCTCTCCAGAGACATCACCTCGTCCACTCCTCTCCTAAGGCTGGGCACACACCTTACAACCATCGCAAGACTTTTGTCTTGCGATGGTTGTAAGGTACTTAAAAAACGTACGATCTGCCCATCTTGCATAGGCAGGCTTCCGATGACCGCAATGCCGAACGGGCAGTGTGCGCTTGCGCACACCGGCCCGTACGGCTTTTATCGTACGGACATGCCACAAACCCGCCGAACATCGTACGATGCTCGGCGGGTTTTCGAACATGTCCGTAAGTTAAAAGTCGTGCGACCGTACAGTAGCAGAGGTCGCACGGCTTCCACACTCCTTACGATAATCGTACAATCGCGGGATTTCCCGCCATTATCGTAAGGTGTGTGTGGGGACCTTAAAGCAGCTAGGAAGTGGATACCCGCATTTCCTCTCAGAGCCATTGGGTGGCAGCAGAGATCCTCTGAATCACCAACTGCAAGTATTACATAACTTAATCAGCTGTTCCCATAGAACTGTCTTTCTACCATACAATTCAGCAGCTCTCATTGAACTGTGTTGCTCTGCCATACAACTCGCTGACACTGAACTGTTTGCTGCCAACCTTATCAGTGATTGTGAAGTTACCCTGTACGTAGCCCTACAACACTACCTAGCACAGCAGCCAGCACTCCATTACAAGCAAGCCCAGTTCATTGTAAACTCCACCATGTTCACACTGGAACATAATTATTTTTCATTTCTCGATAAATTTCACCTACAAATCCAGGGCACCGCGATGGGAGCTAACTATGCTCCCAGCTATGCAAATTTAACCATGGGCTACTGGGAGCATTTCCATATCTGGCATAACAACCCCTTTTCCAAGCACCTAACCTATTATGGCCGTTACATAGACGACATCCTCATCATATGGGGCGGCCCAATAGACACCATCTCTGAGTTCGTGACACACTGCAACGCAAACCCCTTTAACCTCAAGTTCACCCATGTCCATGATGATCACAAACTCACTTTTCTAGACCTTGAGCTCACTCACAGAGACAAGACCATCACCACCATCACACATTTCAAACCCACTGCTGGCAACTCATATTTACACTATGAAAGCTGCCACCACCCCCGATGGAAACAAAATGTCCCGAAGGGACAGTTTTGGAGGTTAAATAAGAACTGCACCCTAAAGGAAGATTACCACAAGCAAAGTATCCACCTCAAAAACAAATTTCTAGAGAAGGGTTACCCCAAAAAACCTATTAACAGGGCACAAAAATCCTTCCTAACAGGAAACACTGCACCCAAAAACAAACAACAAACGCAGGACAGTGCGCTAAGGTTCATCACACCCTTTAACAGCAAATTTAAAGCCAAAAAATTGGCACTTACTCAAATGTGACCCCAAATTAGGCCCCATACTCCCACACGAGCCCACAGTAGTTTTTAAGAAAGCTAAAAGCATCAAAAACATAGTGGCGCCCAGCAAACTCTCAACCAAGAAAAGGAAAACAAAAACCTTCTTCTTCAGCAACAGAACAGGAGTACATCAATGCAAAAAACTACTCTGTTTAACTTGCCAATTTATCACCCATGGCCAAACGTCGTTTGTCTGGGAACACATTTCCCATTAATCAATTCATCACTTGCGCCCACGACTATGTCGTCTACGGCCTAAGATGCCCCTGTAACCTTTTATACATAGGCCGTACCATCCGCCCCCTACGGAAACGCATAGGAGAACATAGAAGATTTATTGAAAAAGGAAGTACCGAACATAGCATCCCACGTCACTTCCTTCACAAGCACCAGAAAAACACCAAATTCTTACAAGTTTTTGTCATAGAACAAATCCCGGATCGAGAGATTCCGTGAATTATGTAAACAGGAAACATACTGGATATATAAACTCAATACACTCTCTCCCCATGGCCTCAATGAGGAACTTGAAATTAGCACTATAATTTAATGAGACTACCTCTCTTTAGCATTTAACTGATAACCAGCACCCCAGCCCGATAGTATTGCACATACAATTCTGTCCTTTAAACTATTCCCCCACGCCCAGCATTTCCAAATGTAATTTGAACACACCCCCTACCAAGTGACGTCACAACTACGTCATAACCACGCCCCCGCCCGTCCATTTAAATCTGCCGCCCAAATCATTTTTCCCCTCACCCTGTCTTGACAAGGAAGACTACGTCTTCGAAACGCGTTGCCATAACGATAGGAACTTCCGTCCCACGTCTGGGACGCCCTGCACACCACCTTCGGCCAGAGCGGATATTGCGGCATCTGCGCCCGCCTCGACATCAACCGGCCGCCGCCAGCGCTCCACAACGAAGGAATCCAACCAGCCTCCACCCAGCTATCCTCGCACCTAACGGGACCCCTTCAGAAATCGGAGTTTTGGATGACACACAAACCTCCATCATCAAAGCCCCCCCAGGCCTGAATACCCCCTGCCTGCAAGGGTAGTAGCGCTCTAGACTTCCTTTTTTGTTTTTCCTACCCTGTACGTAGCTGTTAACCTACACACCCAGTATAATTATTATCTGAAGCTGAGATCCACACCAACCTAACTAGCCGCACCGGAGCGTTACACATTCCACCTCTCAGCATGGGCTCTTTATTGCCTTCGGGACACATTTCCAAAACCTAAGTAAACCCAGAATTCCTCATCAATCTACCAGCTCCATGTAGCTCCACTTTAGCCCTCAGACACAAACCCACCTGGAACCTTTGCTCCACCCCCCCCTTGTATGGGCTCCTTATTGTCTTCAGGACACAGTACCAAATCTTATTTTAACCAAGAAAATCCTCATCAGCCCACCACCTCCTTATACAACCCCATCTGTTCCTTCACTCCACCTCTCCGCATGGGCTCTTTATTGTCTTCAGGACATGATTCTAAAGCCATCTATAACCCAGACTTCCTCATCAATCTACTTATGTCTCATCTCAAGCCCCCCACCCCCGGTGCACACCGACCAGAAACCTTCATCCGACCCTCAATTTCCTTTCTTCCTTCCTCTGGTTGGTCACTGTTCTCTACAGCTGCCAACTCCCAGCTCTGACCTGTGCACATCAGAGACACGCTCATCCCTTATAACTCAGTATATTCCTCCGGAGACACTCACTTAGGCCCCGCAGGCTGGACCACGGCAGCCACGGGTACCATGGTGACGGCCAGGATGAAGCCCAGGGAGAAGTTCATGACGGCGATACAGCCCAGCAGGACAGCCAGATACAAGAGAGAGATGAGCTTGAGGGTCATCCAGCCCTGATCCGAGCCGGCCCCGGCCAGCACCCTGCGGAAGGAGAACAGAGAGAGAGTGAATGCAGGCCCACCATTTCCCTTATACCGAGTAGCATTAGGCGGACCTCCCCACCCCCCACACACACTTTTCATGTATTTTTAATTACAGGTATAAATGCCACGCTGACAGTTTACACAGCGCTTTACATGCTGCACATCAGTCTCTACCCTCCAGGAGCTCCTCCGGAGCGTTATATAAAAAGAACACATCCCTGGCATCCCTTTAGACGTGCATGCCTGCTGCCCACTGGGTGCTGCAGGCTTCAGCTGTACAATCTGCTGATCAGTTGCTGGATTACACTTGTTGCACCCTACTTATAGGGGTGCTAAAATATTTCTATAGTCTATGTTCAGTTCAACTGTGACAGAACAGTCTGTGTCTGCCTGTGGGTGGGTGTGTTACCACAAAGGGCAGAACCGCCAATGAGGAATGCTATGGGCATTTATGTCTCCCAGCCAATCACTGTAGGACAGTAGCAGTGATGCATGCTGGGAGAGGAGATAAATGCCGAGTGTGGCTGATGCAACAGTCTCTTCCTCTTCCCCTCCCAGGGCCCTCCTGGCCTGGGGGCAGGATGCCTGCTGCTGAAGAGTGAGAATGGACTAGGCCTGAGCTGGTGGCCTAGGCCTGGATACTGGGGCCCGAGCCTGGAGGCCCAGTGGTCAGCCACTCGTCTCTGAAGTTGAGCCTGAACAAGACCCTTGACAGTACTGCTTGCCAGAAGTTCTCCACACAGATTGCCGGTACGGCTTAAAGGTCCAAGTCTGTGGTGGCCGCAGTTACTTTGCTCTGTTTCAAATACAAGGAGTCTACCTTCATCTGGGATGCACCTGACCCTCCCCCTCTCTCCCTGGAGTTCAGAAATAAAAGAGAATCATCTCGGAGCTATTGTCTGGACTTCAATCTGTCGGTAACCACTGGAAGTGCTAAGTGCTATTGGGGCAGCCATGTGTTTTTAATAATCCCCTAGACAGGCTACGGAAGACCCGATCATTCAGCGGCTCCTTCGGGGGTGAGCGCTACACACTCTATTAGAAGGATCAGCCAACTGCACAGCTAAAGTCTGCAGCACCAATTGGTCAGCAGGGATGCGGTACACATACAGGGCCCCCCATACCTACTAATACCTAATAACACAGCATCAGCATCTATAACTGAAATATGAGCTTTAGGATGGACTGACCCTCTAACACCCGGCCCTCCGGCTTCTGCAGGCCCATTGTGTGCCCGTGTTCCATACCTGTGCGTGTTGTGGGGCAGCGCCAGTCCAGCCACATATATAGCAATGGCGATCAGCACCACGGCCTCGGCCTCGGACACCGGGAAATGATCGGTAGCGATCTCCTGGCTCATCACCGGGATGTAGTAGAGGCTGAGTCCGGTAGCGTGGCAGATGACGATCGGAGTGGCCAGAGACAGGATGCTGGGCCTGGTGTCCTAGACCAAGGAAGGCACAAAGAACGGAGCTTAGTAATATATAATATCCAACAGGCACGTCCAGGGAATCCCAGCAACCCCATTACACCCACAACCAGCCAAGCCGGTGAAGGTGATTCGGTCCTTGATTCATAGTCCCAGCCACTAACGGACACAATCCTCATAATCACTTCTAATAGTGACCCACTTCTAGCTGCCATCGGCCAGCAACAGGTCCTATATATGTCTATAGCAGTGACTTATTGCTGGAGGGAGACACCACTATGGAGCTCTGTGTAGCAAGATCTGAAACCCGGGAGCTGAACATTAGTGTTAGATGGCAGCAGGCAGTTCCAGCCTGCGTGCTGGCCGGGACCTGGAGGGGCCATGTTCAAATGACAACGGGGACTCAAGTGTTTAAAAACGTTATTAGAAGGGCGGAGGGGGGAGCTCTGTTGGCACCCTCAGCACTGGTCTATTTAAGCCGGATGAACACTACCGGCGCAGAGACTGGGGGCCCGCCGGCCGTTGGATACCGATCCGGTGCCATCCGGCAACTGTGCTGGGCCCCCCCAGGCTGAGGGCACGATGCGGACACACCGGCGGTAGTTCTGCCACTGGTTTGCATCCCTGAGCTTGCTGAACAGACCTACTGCACGGCATGCCTGTAGTCCCATAGTCAGCGTTAAGGCCATACCCAGTCCCTGATGTCCTTTGGCCAGCTGTTCCTGGATCATTACCTGTTCTGTGTCCCCGGCTCCGTCCTCAGTCACTGGCTCTGAGCGGCTCAGTTTAATCCACAGATCCAGGGCCTGGATGGGAAGGTAAGGAAACTAAAAGGAGAAAATCATTCATACCTACTGTACGGAGCAATGCTCTCACTATGAGGCCCCTATACAATATACAGAGTATCTGATGGACCCCTATACAATATACAGAGTATCCCATGGACCCCTATACAATATACAGAGTATCCTATGGACCCCTATACAATATACAGAGTATCCTATGGATCCCTATACAATATACAGAGTATCCTATGGACCCCTATACAATATACAGAGTATCCTATGGACCCCTATACAATATACAGAGTATCCTATGGATCCCTATACAATATACAGAGTATCCTATGGACCCGATTATCCTCAGTTCCCCCAACTTCAATAGTAGTCTGTGAGGGGTGGAGGTAGATAAAGGATACTCGCAGGATCAGGATGAGGATGATGAATCCGATGGCCGGCATATAAATCCCAATAGATACAAAGCGGGAGAGTGATGGCAGCAGGTAGAAGAAGTAGGACTGGTGCAGCCGCTCCGACAGGTTGTTCACTTTGCGGAACATCCCTTCAATGGTCCTGTGGAGGGGACAAGACAGAAGAGAAGTCACACAACCATCAGAAAGAGGTGTTTACAGCACCACCTCCTGGACACTCCACAGAACTGCAAGCACAGCACCACCTCCTGGACACTCTGCAGAACTACAAGCACCGCACCACCTCCTGGACACTCCACAGAACTGCAAGCACAGCACCACCTCCTGGACACTCTGCAGAACCACAAGCACAGCACCACCTACTGGATACTACACAGAACTGCAAGCACTGCACCACCTCCTGGACACTCCACAGAACTGCAAGCACAGCACCACCTCCTGGACACTCCACAGAACATCAAGCACAGCACCACCTCCTGGACACTCCACAGAACTGCAAGCACAGCACCACCTCCTGGACACTCCACAGAACTGCAAGCACAGCACCACCTCCTGGATACTCCACAGAACTGCAAGCAAAACACCACCTCCTGGACACTTGGCAGAACTAAAAGCACAGCACCACCTCCTGGACACTCCACAGAACTGCAAGCACTGCACCACCTCCTGGACACTCCACAGAACTGCAAGCACAGCACCACCTCCTGGACACTCCACAGAACATCAAGCACAGCACCACCTCCTGGACACTCCACAGAACTGAAAGCACAGCACCACCTCCTGGACACTCCACAGAACAAACTGCAAGCACAGCACATCCAACTGGAGCAGTAACAGCACCAAAATAGAATACAGCTAAAGAAGAACTCCAGACTAACCAGGAGCTGGAAGGTCTGCTAGTACAATAGAAGTGGCTTAGCTTCTATACCAGACTCCCAAAATGATCAGCAATCTGCAGCGGGGGCCGCCATGGGTACTCACTGTCCGATGGTGACCATGTCGTATTTGTATTGGCGGAAGCTGTTGATGCCGCGCAGGGTAATGGCTTCGATGTGGTATCTCAGGAAGAGGCCGTGGTCCCCCTGCGGCCGGGCGGAACCTTGCTTTAACACCATCAGCATCATCGTCTGCAGGTTGTGGATGTAGCCGGGGAGAGTGTCAAAGTCGTTCCGCTGCAGCTGCACAACACAACGCGGCGCGTTACATCACCAACATCACCATAATAACATATTATGTATTACACGTATGTATGGAGCGCCAACATTCTGCGCAGTGCTTTACATACACCCCATTCATATCACTCCCTGCCCCAAGCAGCTTACAATCTAAGGTCCCCATCCCATATGCATACATACAGGGCCAATCTAGACAGGAGCCAATGAATCCACCAGCATGTCTCCTGAGTGTGGGAGGAAGCCGGCATACCAAGAGGGTATGGCTGGAATTAGAAATGAGGACACCAAGTGCTGCAAGGCAGAAGTGCTAACCACTACGCCAGGGGTAGGGACCTCAGCACTCCAGCTGTGGTGAAACTACAAATCCCATGTGGCATTGCACGACTCCGCCCAGAAGCAAAGCAAACATTTCCCAGCACACTCACCAGCCGGCCTGCAAAAAAAAACAAGTGACTGTCTGACTTTTAGGGTTAAAAACAAAGGTTTTAGTTGCAAAATATGTGAAAGCCGCACTTCCTGGTCAAGGCCCCTCTGTGCAGTGTGGTCCTAACTCTAATCTATGAGAGCCGCCATCTTGGAGCGTATATAGGAAAGGAAGAATCGGGTGCAGGTTTGCCAGGAGGCAGCCCAATCCTCCTTAAAGGCACAGGCACACACCAAACTCCTCTGTTTTTAACCTGCTAGATATACGGAGTGATTTGGTTTATTTTTGCATGCCGGCTGACGAGTGTGCTGGGAAATATTTGCTGTAAGAGACAGTGTATGCCATTAGTCTAACCCCCAGCCAGTTACAGTTCCTGGGATTTGCTCCACATTCCAATGGAGCCGGGGCTTACAGAGCGGGGCTTCGGGATGTGAGGGAGCACATTAGAGCTGCAGCTAACGATTATTTTCAAAATCGATTAGTTAGCCGATTATTAAGTTCGATTAATCGGAATAGAATATCTCCAGACGCGGTCACACTGCCCTGACATTAGTAATACATTCATTTGAATTGCAGTCATGTGTGGGCTCCATTATCAATGATCTGACTCGTACTTCTACACGTCCACTGTCCTTAATGTCATTATATTGTATGTATTCTCCAAGTCTCCTCTCCTCTGATCTCTTAGGTGATCGCTTTATTTAGATAGCTATTTCATGTCTTTCTAACCTTAGACTCAGATCATTTGCCCCCCGACCCCTTATTTGTACTTTGCAAAGCCTGTTGACAGTTTTCTTTTTTTTCTCTCCAACTTTCTTTCCCTCCCCTCTGCAAACAGATTGTCTTTCTAAAGGGGCCCATACACCTTACGATGGTCGTAAGCTTATTAAAAGCTCGTTTGATCTGCCCATCTTGGACTGGCAGATCGTACTTGCGATCATCGGGCAGCCCTCCCCCGCTGAGAAACCTTCGCCACCTCGACCCTTCTCCGCTCTGCTACTGACTACCTCTATGACAAGATCTCCCCCCTGTCCTGCCCTGACCTGGTTACTTCTGTCTTCAACATCTCGCTCTCATCCTCTCTAGACACCTTGGCTCCCCTCACTACACGCAGACTTAGACCACGCCCACTACAACCGCGGCAAACAAAAGAAACCAGACGTCTAAAAAGACAAAGCCGCGCTCTTGAGCAACTGTGGCGGAAAACTCGGCTTCTGCAAGGCTTCGCCCTGTACAAAGCTGCCCTCCTAAAATATAACTCCTCCCTCCTAAAATATAACCCCTCCCTCCTAAAATATAACCCCTCCCTCCTAAAATATAACCCCTCCCTCCTAAAATATAACCCCTCCCTCCATCCTCTTCTGACCCGGTCACCACAGAGGAGGTTACTAAGCTTCTCTCTGACACCCACCTCACCACCTACCCCCTGGACCCTGTTCCCTCACCGCTACTCCGGTCACCCTCTTGCTCTATCCTACTCACATTTCCAATCTCTCCCTCTCTACTGGAATCTTTCCTACCCCTCTAAAGCATGCCCTGGTCACCCCAATACCCAAAAAAATATCAATGGACCCTACTGACCTCAACAATCTCAGACCAATCTCCTTACTCCCATTCACCTCCAAACTCCTAGAACGCCTCATCTACAGCCGCCTGAGCCGCCACCTCGCTGATAACAACCTTTTGGACCCCTTTCAGTCCGGCTTTCGCCCCCCTACACGCCACTGAGACTCCGCCCCCCTACACGCCACTGAAACCGCCCTCCTAAAACTCACCAATGACCTAATAACTGCTAAAAACAATGGACACTATTCCTTACTCTGACCCCCCGCTACTCCTTACTCTGACCCCCCGCTACTCCTTAATCTGACCCCCCGCTACTCCTTAATCTGAC